TTTTTTTTCCTCTTTTTTGTTTTATTTATTTTTATTAATTTATAACAATAATACATATCAGATATATAATTATTTCATATTTCGAAATCACGGCTGATTTCTAACATATAGCTCATGAAGCCTATACACTCATTATTCAAAAATTGTTATATTCATATTTGGCCACAAATTTAAATTAAATATATCAGGTTCTAGAAGAAACTAATTTCTTAAATATTAAGTATTTTAAGATTAAATACTTTTATTATTCATTTATTTACACGAATCTTAATATTTTGTAGGCCATCCATAACTTCTATACGACATGACGTATTTCTGATTAGTTTATATTTTTTTTCACGTGTAACATTGGAAAGTTTTATTATTAGTAATAATAATTACATATGATAGCCTATAAAGAACGAAAACACGTTATTCTTATCATTGGAATGACTCAATTAACATTGATAATAAATTATTTATTTTTAATTAACTAACTAGAGTTACATAAAGACTAACATGCTTCAAGTTTTTTTATGTCATCAAATAAATCTAATAATGTTGCTGCTGACCATGCCTGTGTGGGACATGAATGAGGGCAAAATGCTCCATCTGCATTTGTTAATTCAGGAAGACCAGCCCACGTATCTGTTTCGATCACTTCACGATGTCGTAGTAGATGTCTTGTTATAGTGTGAATTGTTTCATGTTTCTAATAGCATATAAGAAAGGTTGGAATTAAAAAAAAATCAGTTTTAAACTAAAAATGTTTTTAACAAGACAATAAACAATAACGTACATTGTCTTTTCCACACCCTACTCGAGTATCAAAATACAAATATGCACGAAGGAAATAGCCAGTACACCAAAGCCATTCCTAAAAATAATGATATTTTAATTAGAAATATGCATAAAAGACGTTATATTAGATAAGTACCGTATTTGCGCGTAATAACGCACATATGCGTTATTTTGAATCTTCGCTTTTTTGAAAATTGCATATTTTGACTCAAAATAACGCGCCTCTATCGATCTGAATTTAATTTGTTAT